ATTAGAGTGATACACACATTTAATCTGCCGATAAAACATTATAAGTTTAAAAAATTTGAATACTGAAAAGTGTTCTCGCATTCCGAATCTAAAAAAAATATATATATAAAAAAAACGTAAATCCGAGATCTTTTATGGGAATACAAACGAAACGTTATTCGGCGCACTTTATTTCCACGGGATCACTCGAATTTTACGAGAAGTGTTTTGCCAGTATATCGAATGCTCACATGGCTCACTATGCTTACACGGAAATTTATTGTAATGCATTCTCGATAATCCGTGCCGTTTTAACGGAGCGCAAAGTTTGACCGAACGCAGCGACTCGCGCAAAGAGTTGCGCGCGCTCTCAATCCAGTGAGATTTAATAATATTGGTTCCGCGTTAATTACACTAATTAATGTGAGCCACGTGTTGCTATAAACATAGACTTCAATATGTAGACAAATCTTGGGATAACGCTGTGCTTTATGTGAATATAATGTGATCCCATGTTAAAATATGCATGCGCTATGCGGTACCAAATGTGCTGCCGGGAAATTATTGAAAGTTGTATCGTTCAAGCGCACAACAAAACAGTATTTAATACAAGCACCATAGAGATTAGTAAATGCGCACGCAAATTGGCGTGATGTTGTAGTCCTGTTGCTTCAAATTTATCGAGAGGTATCAAAGTGCTAAAATTTTAGGAATCTCTAATGGAACAACAGTAAAGCTCGAAATACAAAATGCAATATTTTCTAAATAATATAATCAGGAGAGAGGGTAAGTATCAATAACAGTCAACGTGAACATTGCAATATATGCGTGCAAGAATGACAATTCGTATCTTGTTTCTATCGCACATTATTTCAATATACTTATATATTTTCCGTTATGGTTATAACACGTAATGAGGTTTTTTGTTTACTTATATGTTACGCGTGCAAAATTTTTATATTTATCGTAGCTTTCTCGAAACTTGCAAACGACGATAGTTCGACGTTGCATTTACATTGAACGCAATTAGATAGACTTTATTACAGATTTGATGTTGCGTACTAATTGAATTGTTCGTTTAATATTGAATATGATACTTCCATTGGTATTGCAAGAGATATTCTAAAGCTTGCGAAGAGACTCGATACATTTTATATACAATATATAAATCGACATATTATGTGAAAAAACGAAAAATCACATAGCTTCGATTTATTGAAGACATTTCGAGAGATTACTTCTACCCTCGATGGTCGAGCAGATGATTTGCGAGAAAAAATTCACGTTATCTCCGGGACTGTCTAGGGCTCCAGGGAAAGACCGATATTATTATCTGAGGTACTTAAGCTTCGCACATTTTTGCATAACTGGAAATTAGAAATAATTATTGTTGCACCTCGGGGAGCATGCAGCGGTGTCGCGCAATAGCGATGTGGTGCACAGCAGATAACTCCTTCAATGCTTTTTTTCGCGGGATATGCTCATCGAAATTCAGGTGAATAAGTAACAGAGGATTACTCTTGGGAGACTTTTAATAATTTCGCCATATCAATGATTGCATTTATATTGAATAAAAATAATGATTTTATTAATTTTTCGCTATATACCACGTGAGAAATGTTCAATGTTAATTTCGAAAACTTCGTGGGATTCCCATAACAATTCATATAAGAATTTACATTATAACATTAAGAGATAAGACTGCGTTAGCACCAAGAATAACATGGCTGTTTATGAAGTATAGCAAGAGAAAGTCATGTAATGAACAGATTGGAGATGCACCCGGACTAAGTAAGTTACATGCAGTTGGTTAATGACACTTCATAACTTTGCTCTAAGTACAAGTGGCCACCCATAGTTCTGTAAAGTTTACGGAGCGTACGCAAGCACTCACTCGGTTTCCCCGCGCATCTCTTTCTCTCGTTAAGAAGCATTTGCCAAGATAATTATGAATATAACTCCGGACAAAATTTGCTTGTCCAGCGACACTTAATTATGACGAAAACAATACCGCCGAGCAATACACTATGTGGCATGTAGAATTTTCCATAACAATTTTTTTCTATGTAAAAGTAATCAACAATATATTTTCAATTTGCAACGGCATATAGCCCTTTGTAATCACGAGTAAATGTTAAAATTTAAAGATTATATTACGAAGGTGGAAATAAGTCGCCACTTTGATCGCCAGTATGTTCGATATCTGAAACTGACGGAAAATACTGCGCTAACAACCAA